TTCCTCAAGACAAAGACAACGACGTTGATGACGATGATGGTGATTTGAAAGCAAATGATACATTTGCAATGTTAAAGAAGTGGTCTATAAGACAGAATGAGGAAGACCACCGACGTAAAGTGGATGAGTACATGGATAGAGGGATGGATAAGACAGAGGCCGTAGAAAAGGCGGATAATAAACTATTATCGAAGTATAAGGATGAATTTATGAAAGGATATAAACACTTTGTCAAGCTAACAGTTGATGTAAAAGACAATGCGTTACACAGAAATATAATTGATTCGATAAATAATATGATGAGGAGGGGTGTCTCTGTGAACTTAGCCATTAGGAAGACACTTTTAAAAAACAAACACAAGTTTGACGAGGTCTTTATAGAGGATACAGACCAGGAAAGTAGCTCTGAGGAAGAACAGAGTGAATCCGAAAACGAGGCTGTTGAATCAAGCACTGAGTGATAAATATTAGCAATTTAAAGAGAGATCGTCATTAAGGAGTCAGATTCCGACGGTGTAAGATGGCATATCAAGACTATTTAAAGAAATTATACTTTGACAGTCGAAATTCTGGAGCTTTTGCTGGACCTGACAAACTCTATAGAGCTGTGCTAAATGATGGAAAATACCAGTTGTCCCGTTATCAGATAAAGAAATGGTTGGACAATCAAGAAGCTTATGGCCTACAGAGACCTTATAAGAGACAATTTACTCGGAATAAAGTATATGTTTCACATATTGATGAACAATGGGATGCTGACCTCATGGATATGTCTACTTGGTCAACAGAGAATGACAATACGAAGTTTATCCTAGTTGTTATTGACATCATGTCCCGTTTTGCCTGGGCTAAGCCTCTACCTAACAAGACGGGTAAAACTGTTGCAGGGGCCTTTGATGAGATCTTCAAAGAAGGACAGCGTCAACCAGATGTCATTAGAACAGATAAAGGTCAAGAATTTCGTGCGAGGGTTGTACATACATTACTGGCTCGATGGGAAGTACGCCATTTTGTTACGGAAAATACACCCAAGGCCAACTTTTGTGAGCGCCTTATAAAGACATTGAAGACGAAAATGATGAGGTTCATGACATATAAACAGGACTATAGATATATAGACGATTTACAAAATTTGGTTAAAAGTTATAATGCCACCTGGCATAGGAGCATAAAGATGGCTCCTAAAAATGTAACTAAAGATGATGAACTGGCCATTTGGTGGCGGATGTACTATCCCAAATCAGCTGTTGTTAAAACTAGATCTAAATATATATTTAAATTTCCCATTGGAGCTTTGGTTAGAATTACCCAATCAAAACATATTTTTACAAGAGAATACAACGAGCATTGGACTGGTGAAATTTTTAAAGTGGCGCAACGTTTCATCAGACAGGGCCTACCATTGTATCGTTTAAAAGATTTTCAAAATGAAGACATTAAGGGAACTTTTTACCAAGCAGAGCTCCAGAGGGTAGAAGCAAATGAAGATGATATTTGGAAAGTGGAAAAGATCCTAAAAACACGAACAAGAAAGGGTCAAAGGAACATTTAGTGCGTTGGCAATATTGGCCTAAAAAGTTTGACTCGTGGGTCAAGGACTCTGATATAACATTATTGTAAATATTGTATAAAAATGTAATTATGATGTATATTATGCTGTATTATATGTAAATAAATTTTATGTGTGTTGAAAGAAATCGTGTTATTGTTCATAAGTGAAAATAGAAATATGAAGTTGTTATATATATAACCCCCCCCCCCCATTTTTCATTGAGACTATAGTGTACCTAACATAAGACTCATAGAAATTTGGTCAAATGTCAAAGGTTAGCCTCTGTAAATCTCCCAGTTTTAGAATTTTGAATATAGATGCTTCAAGAGCAATTAAGTGATCTTGCAAAATGTATTCATGAATCGAGTGAGACCAATGCCATCGTGATCCTTACTTATATGATATAAGGTTATCAATATGGCTACCTGCTTTACGTTTCTCGCTATGATCCACTTGCCCAGACACAGTTAAAATGGCTGAACTTCCTCTATGATATCATTAACCTGTTCAGGCGACCGAATAAAAGATGGCTAACTTCCGTTTTAAAACCTGCCCAGGCCGATTAAAAGATGCCTCACTTCCGCTATGATGTCACCCTCTTGTCCAGACAGATTCAAAATGGCTGACTTCCTGTCAGTGTTGCCTCACTTCCGCTATGATGTCACACTCTTGCCCAGACAGATTCAAAATGGCTGACTTCCTGTCAGAAAGCTTCAAAATGGCTGACTTCCGGTTTTAGGTGACCAGCCGTGACCAGCCTGAGCTCATGGGACCAAAATCTCTACTACTCTTGTTGTCGTTGTGAAACATTCGCCCGCGATCCTCCCTTCTCAGTTCCCTGGGGAGGGAATGACGGATTGATAGTTGGAAATGATTAAATTAAGTGCTTCCAAACAGAAAAACGTTGTGTTAAACAACTATTCATTGGTTCATAATTGATAGGTTACTGTTCATTTGTTTCATTGTGTTTATTCTGGACTGAAAAAATCAAATGTTATTTTGATATTAATTGTTTAATGAATTCTTCATGAATATTTCATGTTTTTCATTGAAGTACAGTTACCTTACAATATGCGAAGTGAATGGTTTATTTGACAATGTTTCTAAAGTTTTGCGTTTGAACATAGGTTAGTTAGTTCAGGTCTTTTAAATGTATTACATCACCTATTGCACTTTCGAGCATCTTTTTCGTACCTATTTGTTTCTTCTCCTTTGACCAACGTTTCAGCATATCAATGTGATACATTTTCCAATATGAGATAAAAATACAATTATAAAACGTGGACGTGCCACGTGCTAAAGGTGTTTAGTTTTGTGTTACGTTTTATTCTTTGATATAGTTTGGTCTGATATTTGTGTAAATTACATAGAATTAGTGCACATGCTCTAAATCACCTTGGTGACGAACAGTGTCATTGTACGGTTTAATTGTGGATTTAATGTTTATTATAATAGTGCTAACCAAAACTTTCAAAGATGCCTTAGCTAGCTTTAATCTTTGTTCTTACTAGTTAAAATGGATTCTAGCAATACTATACCTGCACATGAATGCACTTGTTGAAGCTCGATCAACTTGAGGTGTTCTGAGAAAAGACATTATATCTATCCCCATGATGACATACACAAAGTATCCCGATGCCAAGTCATTAGTCCATGTCAAGTCAATGCAACCTTGCTAAAATCTTCATTTTCTCAGAATTTGATCGAATCTGAACAAGTAGAATTATGTTGGATAGTATTGCTAGAATCCATTTTCAATACTAAGAATTGAGGTTCTTAAACAGGACATTTGGGCTTGTTTTTAGAACTTTTTGTTGGCTCTATCCCTGAATACCCAATTTTACTTGCTGATTCGATTTAGAAATCAAATCGTTTCATACACTCAAAGATAAATTATTCTGAATGAAGACAATTTATCAATATTATTAAGTATATAACATGTATGTGATTTCTGTATCATCAGATCACAAAGCTATATATATTAATTATTTCAACTCCAAAGCATATGTCAACTATATTGAATGACAAAAATGGTTTCCTTATAACCCTTTGATATCTTTGTAGGAAGAGATAAAGTGATCGTGTGTGGCATAGGGCAAATTGTGCCATTTCCATCCGCCAATTTAGAAAAAGCTCTAAATGGAACAAAAACTACACGAACTGGCATCGAAAGGCTAACCCATTGTGACAAGAAGTGAATAGAAAAGAAATGTTTTCAATACAAAAAAAACTGTCATGCTCTTCCTATGTGCCTTTGAACAAAATATAAAATATGGCAGATATAGATTATATTTTAATAATTATTATCCCAATAGGCAAGGATAGGCAAACAATGTTTACATAACTTTAAATGTGTCAATACATTCTTTTCAGTAAGTAATTGTTAAAGGAATTTAACGTCCCTTGCAGTGCTGCATACAATGTGTAAAACATATAAACGTTGACATCATTCAGACACATAACATCATTAAAGTTATTATCTAAGGATGGAGCTGATATATGGATGATAATTAAAAAGTACTTAGGATCAATTGTAAGGATGCTTAGGATTGTCTTATTATGACCAGCTGTACTCTTTAATCGCCATATTTCTGTGAATTTGTTCTGGTATTTTTCTTCTGGTACTTGTGTTAGCATTGTCATAGCAAAAAACGAATGGAGCAATACGGCGGAGGGGATAACATAAATCAACATAGTCGTTCAACTAGTGGAGTTCATGCATGATAACGTCTTCTAATCACCTCTAGTATCTTCAAGGGGATCTTTCAATCATTGATTTACTCTGTATTTCACACATTGACGTTGTTACACGGTAAACACGATACAAAAGTACGTCATATTCCGCAACGAATATGACATATTCACTTGTGGTGTATGACAGATTCATCTGCGGTGAATCTAGAACCATATGTTAGACTACGCCAGAAACTTGAATTTGATTATTCAAAGAGTTTTTACAGAATGATGAGATGAGAATATACTTTCGAACGAATCAGCACTGGTATTCGTAGATCTATGAAACACAGGTTCATCTTAACAAATATCCATAGAACGACGGCTAAAACTCAACATTTTTCAATTCTTTCCAGTTTTCCAGTCTATCGAAACATTCGGCTCAATAAAATGATGCTCTCTGAGTACAAAAATCATCAAAACAACACAGAAACATGGTGCCAAATGCAGTTCCCTATTTTGCAGAGTTTCGTGAGAAAATTAGATTTAACAACACAGAAACATGGTGCCAAATGCAGTTCCCTATTTTGCAGAGTTTCGTGAGAAAATTAGATTTTGAACACACTGTTCACTCAAACATGTTTGATGTAGACCGGATCATTCAGTAGTCCTGTGCTATGTCATTCGTGATCACTTGCAAGCTATACCAACATCTTCACCGTGGCTGCAATCACTAACCCCCAGAACATGGTGGGTACATTCAAACAAAGAGGTCTCTGTTCCTACACATCCCATATCATCTAACCATATATCTCCTGTACCACCACCAAGATATGCTTTGAAAGTTGCCCCCTCATAGCTCATACCTAAAGGCAAGGACTTAAACATCAGAAAAGTTTCGTTTTTCAGGTCAATGCTAAAATAATCAATAGCACATTGTTATCCCTATGCTCAGATAATAAACAACATATACAAGTGACCCTTCTTAACATGATTTATTGAAACCAACAAGCTGGTATGAAGTTAAGCCTAACATATTACTGTAGTCTCCTGTACCTAGATGTTTACAAGCAACCTTAGCATCAATGTCATCAAAATAATCGTCACACACAGTACCCCACGCATTGTTATAGTATACTTCAAGTCTTCCCCATGTACTGCCACCTACGTGTACCACGCGAATATTTGGCCCTGCAATAAAAGTAAGCCTAAAATTGGCCTGAAGTTGTAAAATGAGTTTGAAAATTGATTAAATTGAAAGTGTGTTTTATATTCTCGCTAATTTCTTTTAAATACCCGAATAACGTAGCGTGGATCTAAGTAAAGTATCAATATTACCGCACTAAAATTAACATACGAAGTAAAAATTAGATTTACCAGTACACTTGTAATTATCTTGACCATTATATTCAGGGACACAAGAACATGTGTAACCATTGACTCTATCTTTACATGTTCCGCCATTTATACATGGATTGCTCGAACACTCGTCTATGTCTGAAAGAATATATAAAACTCATAACATAGCAGTTATATGTTTCTTTTTAAGATCATAGCCACGACACCCTGCAGGAAGTGGAGCCAATGCCCATTGCGTATGTGTGAAAACAAAGTGTTTGCGTTTCTAGTTTAATTAGGTGTTGTTATTACCGTTTCAGATGCGTTTTGGTGCCCTGCTTACGACTGATATTAACTTAAGAAACATGATAAACACTTTTGAAAACACATGAGAAAATGGGTGGTGTTCATATTAAAACGTTAAATGCTGATAATCAACGTGATTTTAACGGCAAATGCGTTAAAATTCATTATAATAACGGAAAGACACGTTCACGGAAACGATCGTTTTTAGAGTGTTGTATGGTTTTATGATCGTTAGTCGTGACCTTGTAAGTCGTAAACAGTGGGTTAATGTTCTTACCGACATCACACCTCAGGCCCTCATAACCAGGAACACAAGAACACGTGTAACCGTTGACTACATCGTTACATGTTCCACCATTTGGACATGGATTACTCGTACACTCGTCTATGTCTGAAAGAATATACACAATTTATAATTAAATAAAATACATTGTATGTTTTGTATGATCATGAGTCATAACCTTGTAAAACAATGCTATTTAATGCTAATGCTTATTGTCCTTACCAATATCACACCTCAAGCCCTCATAACCAGGAACACAAGAACACGTGTAACCATGAAATCCATCATCACATGTTCCACCATTTAGACATGGGTTACTGAAACACTCATCTGAAAGGTAATACGCATTTTGAAATCGTATTCATTTCCATTTCCTGGACTTTGATACATTTTAATAGGATCGAGAAAACATTGCGTGAAAGAACATTATCTTCTTAACCGTTTTTGGTACCATGCTACACAAGTGAGATCTTGAATGAGATGTCATCATCAAAGTCCAACAACAATTGTTGCAAACATATTACGTGGTCGGAATGATGTTATTCAAATATTTTACACCCACCTCTGTCATAATAATCCACATCATTCCTCGTAGGCGATGGGGGAGTTGCACTCGGCCCATTCAACTCACATATAGCCCGAAAAGTTTTGTCGCCAACTAGTTTCCTAAGGTTGTAGGATTTGCACGTTTCAGGAGTGGCGCTACAGGTCGCTGCACACCTTGCGTTTGTGAGGACTTTGAAAGACTTCAATGGTCTGTCCAATCTTTCTTTGCGTGGAAACTTAATGTAACTCATGTCGTTATGCTGCTGATTGGACAGATTTATTGCAATGTTCGCGGTGTGTGTTTTAATGATTGAAATAGCACAGGCAAAAATCACGAAAACTGCACGCACTGGCATCTTGTTGTCGTTGTGAAACATTCGCCCGCTATTCCTCCCTTCTTAGTTCCCTGGGTAGGGAATGACAGATTGATAGTAGGAAATGATTAAATGAAGTGCTTCCAAACAGCAAAACGTATTGTTAAACAACTATTCATTGGTTTATAATTGACAGGTTACTGTTCATTTGTTTCTTTGTGTTTATTCTGGACTGAGAAAATCAAATGTTATTTTAATATTAATTGTTTAATGAATTCTTCATGAATATTTCATGTTTTTCATCGAAGCACAGTTACCTCACAATATGCGAAGTGAATGGTTTATTGGACAATGTTTCTAAAGTTTTGCGTTTGAACATAGGATAGTTAGTTCAGGTCTTTTAAATGTATTACAGCACCTATTGCACTTTCAAGCATCCATTTCGTACATATTTGTTTCTTCTCCTTTGACCAACGTTTCAGCATATCAATGTGATACATTTTCCAATATAAAAAATACAATTATAAAACGTGGACGTGCCACGTGCAGAAAGGTGTTTAGTTTTGTGTTACGTTTTATTCTTTGATATAGTTTGGTCTGATGTTTGTGTAAATTACATAGAATTAGTGCACATGCTCTAAATCACCTAGGTGACGAACAGTGTCATTGTACGGGAATGGGTTTAATGTTTATTATAATAGTACGAACCAAAACGTTCAAAGATGCCTTAGCTAGCTTTAATCTTTGTTCTTACTAGTTAAAATGGATTCTAGCATGCAATACTATACCTGCACTTGTTGAAACTCGATCAACTTGAGTTTTTCTGAGAAAAGATATTATATCTATCCCCATGATGACATACACAAAGTATCCCGATGCTACATGTAAGTCATTAGTCCATGTTAAGTCAATGCAACCTTGCTAAAATCCTCATTTTCTCAGAAGTTGATCGAATTTCAACGAGTAGATTCATGTTGGATAGTATTGCTAGAATCCATTTTCAATACTAAGAATAGGGGTTCTTAAACAGGACATTTGGGCATGCTTTTAGAACTTTTTGTTGGCTCTATACCAGGGCTCTATAATACCATATCATTTCCATTTCAATCCCTCTGATGAATTTCGCAGAGCAATAAAGCAACACAAATATGAAAAAGAATACTGAAAAGCAATATAAAATCAAATCACTATTATAATATAATACTTACAATTTACGAATTGACCAATTGAACATACCAACTGAGGCAAATTTTCATTTGTTTTTGTGTAACGATTGCACATCTCAGCACTTTATCTTTTACTTGTTATGAAATTATTTCATTTCTACGCAATCAATACACTTCAATGTAACCCCTGAATACCCAATTCTATTTGCAGATTCAGTTTAGAAATCAAATCGTTTTCATGCACACAAAGATAAATTATTCTGAATGAAGATAATTTATCAGTAAGTATGTAACATTAGGGTGGTCCAAAATATGGCGAAAAACCAACTTTCTTTCGGATCATCTTCCTCATTTGACTTACTGTTGTCCATGACCTAAAACACTTGCACACCAAATTTTGAGACCCAAATCCCATGGGAAATTTACCCACGCTTCGACTGAAAAATTCGGTTATTTCATGATTTTTTGCTATTTTCGATAAATTGCCATCTCCTTTTTCCTGTTATAAAATGTTTCTATTTTTTCATAATAAACATTTTTGTAGGACTCTTTATTACTTTATAATACTAGGAGCCCAAACACCAAATTTTGAGACCCAAATCCCATGTGAAATTTACCCATGCTTTGACTGAAAAATTGTGATTTTCACAGTTTTGTCCGATTTTCAATAGATTACTGTCTCCATTTTCCTGGTATAATATGTTTCTATTTTTTCATAATAAATATTTTTGGATGACTCTTTATTACTTCATAATACTAGGAACCCATACACCAAATTTTGAGACCCAAATCCAATGGGAAATTTACCCATGGTTTGACTGAAAAATTGTGATTTTCACATTTTTTCCGATTTTCAATAAATTGCTGTCTCCATTTTCCTGGTACGATATGTTTTTATAATAAACATTTTTGAGGACTCTTTATTACTTCATAATACTAAAAACCCATACACCAAATATCCACCAAATTTTGAGACCCAAATCCAATGAGATCGTTACCCATGCTTTGACTGAAAACTGGTGCTTATGATAGCTTATGATGTCTGTTTTAGGGGCATAATATGTTAATAAACATTATGGTAATTCCTTCTTAATCCAAAGAAACACCTAAATATCAAGACTTTAAGTCTTATTGAAAGGCGACTCGACAGCAACTCAAATGCCTTGAAGATTTGGTTTGTTGGTTTCAGTAGGGATACATCACAGGACTTTGTTTGGATTTGTGTGAGATGTCATATTCTTTCTCACATCTTTGCAGGGTAAGGTCAAATATCAAATCTGATTTTCTTTGGAGAAATGATTTTTTGATTGATCAATGTATCAATGGCATGGTCTCTGTTGTAACCAGTAAGCCTGTACCAAATCTTCAAGGGATTCGAGCTTCCACTGAGCTTTGTCATTTCTCTGAAAATGTTCATGCCCTGAAAGTACACAATGTAGAAGATAGGAAGAGCAATGAGAAACACTTAAGGTAATTCTGTATGTTCAGAAATTTTAAGTGGAGTCATTCCATACTTGGTCAGCTCTTTCAATTTTACACTGAGTTCAAATATGTATTTAGATTATTAGTTGATGGTTAGTAATTTTCCATAATGTACTATGTGCTATGTTTATACACTGTTTGTGCATCTGAATGGAATGAGTTATGTGTTCCTGAAAAAACACGGGGCTCCAATTAGGAAGCCATTAAAACTGAAAATAAGGAATTACCTTTAAGTACTATATAACCATCTTTCACGATGTAACGTATGTAAGGCCAAACAGGATAATTAAGACAACGTGTAATACAATTTATTACAAATTGCACATCACACAACAATGATATGGTGCTCTAAACGACAAAAATCAAAAGTATATGATCAAAGCAAACGTGAATTTCCCATGGGGTTCAGGTCTAAACATTTGGTACATATTAAATGTATGGGTTCCTAGTATTAAGAACGTATTAATGTCCTCTTAAAATGTTTAAAAACTAAATATAAGATTAATGTTGATCTATTGAAAATAGGAGAAAATTCGCAGAAAATCACAAATTTTGGGTTGAAGCATGAATTAATTTCTCATGGGGCCAGGGTCTCAAAATTTGGTGCATATTTGGGGTATGGGTTCCTCGTATTATGAAGTAATAAAGAGTCCTCCCAAAATATTTATTATAAAAAATAGAAACATATAATACCAGGAAAATAGAGATGTATTGTATTGTATATGAAATAACCCAATCTTTCAGTCGAAGCGTGGGTAAATTTCCCATGGGATTTGGGTCTCAAAATTTGATGTATGGGTTCCTAAGTATTATGAAGTAATAAAGAGTCATCCAAAAATATTTATTATGAAAAGACATCTACCATTTTATACCAGGAAAATGGAGATGGCAATTTATCGAAAATAGCAAAAAATCATGAAATAACCGATTTTTTCAGTCGAAGCGTGGGTAAATTTCCCATGGGATTTGGGTCTCAACATTTGGTGTATGGGTTCCTAGTATTATGAAGTAATAAAGAGTCCTACAAAAATGTTTATTATGAAAAAATAGAAACATATTATACCAGGAAAAGGGAGATGACAATTTATCGAAAATAGCAAAAAATCATGAAATAACCGAATTTTCAGTCGAAGCGTGGGTAAATTTCCCATGTGATTTGGGTCTTAAAATTTGGTGTGCAGGTGTTTTAGGTCATGGACAACAGTAAGTGAAATGAGGAAGATGATCTGAAACAAAGTTGGTTTTTCGCCATATTTTGGACCACCCTAATGTAACATGTATGTGATTTTTATATCATTAGATCACATAGCTATATACAACTTGTATATATATATATATATATTTAATTATTTCAACTACAAAGCATATGTCAACGATATTGAATGACAAAAATTGTTCCATTATAACCCTTTGATATCTTTGTAGGAAGAGCTAAAGTGATCAAGAGTGGCATAGGGCAAACTGTACCATTTCCATCCGCCAATTTAGAAAAAGCTCTAAATGGAATAAAAAATACACGAGCTGGCATCGAAAGGCTAACCCATTGTGACAAGAAGTGAATAGAAAAGAAATGTTTTCAATACGAAAACAATATTATGTTGTTGCTATGTGTTTCTGAACAAAATATAAAATATGGCAGATATAGATTATATTTTAATAATCATTATCCCCATAGGCAAGGATAGACAAACAATGTTTACATGACTTTAAATGTTTTAATACATTATTTTCAGTAAGGAATTGTTGAAAGGAATTGCTCACTTAATAGTGACCGACTTGGCTACATACTAGAAGCAATTCTCATGTATTCAATCCTTTCATAGATTGTAAACGGGTGGTACAATGGAAATTGTTGCATGTCATGCATATATGCGCAAACCTAGACTAGCTCAAAATCAATTGATCTGATTTTCGATTCTTGATTTTATTGCTGGAGTTGTGTATTGAAACACGTAGGAATAAATGAATATAAGGATATAGAACTCATTCGCACCTCAATAGTCTACAATGGTAATTTGTTGATAAAAACAAGAACACACCGGAATAGACTCACAACAAAGTCAGATACCGTTGTCACAAATGGCGGACATACCCATCGCTTCATTACGATGTTCATGAACTGTATGTTTAATAGAGCACCTATAGACTAAATTCCTTTGGAACAACAATCAATAAAAGTGTATTTATACTCATTGTACAGTTAATAATGTTTTACCATCGAAATAAAGTCTTTAATTTAAACGATCAAAATGAGATACGGGACAACGGACACTGTATACCATATGCCGTTGTCTTTGTAAATTATTTCAAATTCAGATTTCATTCTCATTGACGATATCGAAGACACTATATTGTGGCGATACATGACCCAATTTGATCAAAATTGGGATTTCATTTGATGCATCATCACAAGAGCTTAATACATGCACAGAATTAGCGACGATAAAGTCCAATGAAACGAGGACCAGTGATTTAAAGAGTTGAAGCGACGGTTATGTCCGCCGTTTGTGACAAAGGTATCTGACTTTACCGTTGTCAGGCTATTCCGCTGTGAAGAAAAAATTGAAAAATATACGGCATGCGTAGACAGACAGACTTTAAACTTTAAAAATACTGTTTTGACCTTCTTAAAGTAACAATACGTTTGTAATAATGTCTGTGAAAGGTGGCTACGGCCCTTGCAGTGCTGCATACAATGTGTAAAACATATAAACATTGACATCATACGGACACATTTTAACATCATTAATGTTATTATCTAAAGAGGGAGCTGATATATGGATGATAATTAAAAATTACTTAGGATCAAAACTTGAATTTGATTATTCAGAGTCTTTACAAAATGATGAAATGGGAATATAGTTTCGAACGAATCAACACTGGTATTCGTAGATCTATGAAACTCTTATCTCATCTTTACACATAGAACGACGGCTAAAAAGTCAACATTTTTCCAGTTTTCCAGTCTATCGAAACATTCGGCTCAATAAAATGATGCTCTCTGGGTATAAAAATCATCAAAACAACACAGAAACATAGTGCCAAATGCAGTTCCCTATTTGGCAGATCTAGAGTTTCTTGAGAAAATTAGATTTTGAACACACTGTTCACTCAAACATGTTTGATGTAGACCACCGGATCATACAGTAGTCCTGTGCTATGTCATTCGTGATCACTTGCAAGCTATACCAACATCTTCACCGTGTTTGCAATTATGATCCCCCCAACTTCGGTGTGTACATTCAAACAAAGAGGTCTCTGTTCCTACACATCCCATATCGTCTAACCATATGTCTCCTATACCACCACCAAGTGATTCTTTGAAAGTTGCCCCCTCATAGCTCATACCTAAAAGCAAGGACTGCAACATCAGAGAAGTTTCGTTTTTCAGGTCAATGCTCAATTAATCATTAGCACAGCGTAATCCCTATGCTCAGATAATCAACAACAATACAAGTGACCCTTCTTAACATGATTAATCGAAACCAACAAGCTGGTATGTATTTAAAAATTTAAAGGCGAACATATATTACTGTAGTCTCCTGTACCTAGATGTTTACAAGCAACCTTAGCATCAATGTCATCAAAATCATCGTCACACACAGTACCCCAAGCATTGTTATAGTATACTTCAAGTCTTCCCCATATACTGCCACCTACGTGTACCACGCGAATATTTCGCCCTGCAATAAAAGTAAGCCTAAAATTGGCCTAAAGTTGTAAAAATGAGTTTGAAAACTGATTAAATTTGAAGTGTGTTTGGTGTCTTCCCATTTCGCCCCTTCCCACTTTGCCCCTTCCCATTTCGCCCCTCATTTATTCCCATTCGGCCCCTTCCCATTTCGCCCCTACCCATTTCGCCCCTTCCCATTTTGCCCATTTCCCAAATTGCCCCTTTCCCATTTCGCCCCTCTTCCATTTCGGCCCCGTCCCATTATGCCCCCTTCCCATTTCGCCCCTCATTCCCCCTTCGCCCCTTCCCATTTCGCCCCTTCCCAATTGGCCCCTTCCCATTTCGCCCCTCATTTATTCCCATTTCGCCCCTTCCCAATTGGCCCCTTTCCCATTTCGCCCCTCGTTCATTCCCATTTCGCCCCTTACCATTTCGCCCCTCATTTATTAAAAAGTAAAATACCTAGATAATGACCTTTTACCTTGGAATGACCTTGACCTTAGTTCACTTAATCATGGGTCACAGAGGTTCACAACAGCCCAAACGACCTTAAATCACGCAAAGGGGCAAAATGGCAAAGGGGCAAAATGGGAAAGGGGCGAAATGGGAAAGGGGCCAATCGGGAAGAGGCAAAATGGGAAGGGGCGAAATGGGAATAAATGAGGGGCGAAATGGGAAGGGGCGAGATGGGAATAAACCTGTGTGTTTATATTCTCGCCAATTTCTTTAAAATACTGGATAACGAAGCGCGGGTCTACGTAAAGTATTAAAATTAGCGCGCAAAATTAACTTACGAAGTAAAGAGTAGATTTACCAGTGCACGTGTAACTATTGACTCCATCGGTACATGTTACACCATTTAGACATGGATTGCTCGAACACTCGTGCCAATTTCTTTAAAATACTGGATAACGAAGCGCGGGTCTACGTAAAGTATTAAAATTAGCGCGCAAAATTAACGTACGAAGTAAAGAGTAGATTTACCAGTGCACGTGTAACTATTGACTCCATCGGTACATGTTACACCATTTAGACATGGATTGCTCGAACACTCGTCTATGTCTGAAAAATATGTAAAACTCATAACATAGCAGTTATATGGTTTTATGATCGTGAGTCGTGACCTTGTAAATCGTAAACTGTGCGTTAATGTTCTTACCGACATCACATCTCAAGCCCTCATAACCAGGAACACAAGAACACGTGTAACCATGAAATCCATCATCACATGTTCCACCATTTAGACATGGGTTGCTGAAACACTCATCTGAAAGGAAATACGCATTTTGAAATCGTATTCATTTCCATTTCCTGGACTCTGATACATTGTTAATAAGATTGAGAAAACAGTGCGCGAAAGAACATTATCTTCATTCCACCGTTTTTGGTACCATGCTACACAAGTGAGATCTTGAATTTATATCTGAAGAAAAGATAAGTTTAAATCATTTGAAACATTTCTTAAAACCTAACTTGTCATCAAGGATGAATCCATCCTCCTCTCTGTATACCTGCACGTTCCCAGTGGCGGATCTGGGGGGGATGGGTGGGCCCAGAAAAAAAATTGGGCTCAAAAAATGTTAGACCAAAAAAGGCTTAAAGCCCCAAAATCGGGCCTTTTTGGTCATTACTGGGCCTTTTAAGGCCTTATTTTTAATTTCAGGCCAAATTTTGAAGAAATGGGCCTCAAAATTTGAAAATTTGGGCAGAAGTTTTTTTCTCTGACCTGAAATTTCCCCCCCCCGGCCTAGTTGGTTCCCAGATCCGCCCCTGGTTCCAAAATACATTACATGCCCGGTTCTCATATTTTTCCTCAATAACATAATATATGTACTCACCAACACATTCGGGACCCTTATATTCAGGGACACAAGAACATGTGTAACCATTGACTCTATCGTTACATGTTCCGCCATTTAGACATGGATTGCTCGAACACTCGTCTATGTCTGAAAGAATATATGAAACTCATAACATAGCAGTTATATGTTTCTTTTTATGATCATAGCCACGACACGCTGCGGGAAGTGGAGCCAATGCCCATTGCGTATATGTGAAAACAAACAGTGTTTGCGTTTCTAGTGTAATTAGGTGCTGTGATTGCCGTTTCAGATGCGTTTTGGTGCGTTGCTTACAACAGATTTTAACTTAAGAAACATGATGAACACTTTTGAAAACATGAGAAAATGGGTGGTGTTAAAATTAAAATGTTAAATGCTGCTATTCAACGTGATTTTAACGACAAAACGCGTTAAAATTCATTAGAATAACGGAAAGACACGTTACCGGAAACGCTCGTTTTTAGAGTGTATGGTTTTATGATCATGAGTTGTAACCTTGTAAGTCGTAAACAGTGCGTTAATGTTCTTACCGAGATCACACCTCAAGCCCTCATAACCAGGAACACAAGAACATGTGTAACCGTTGAATACATCGTTACATGTTCCACCATTTAGACATGGATTACTCGTACACTCGTCTATGTCTGAAAGAATGTACATAATATATAATTAAATAAAATGCATGTATGCTTTGTATGATCATGAGTCATAACCTTGTAAAACTATGCAAATGCTAACTTGCTTATTGTCCTTACCAATGCCACACCTCAAGCCCTCATAACCAGAAACACAAAAACACGTGTATCCATGAAATCCATCATCGCACGTTCCACCATTTAGACATGGGTTGCTGAAACACTCATCTGAAAGGAAATTAGCACTTTAAAAACATATTATCCATTTCCAGGACGGGATTGTGAAAACAGTGCACCGTAAAAGAACATAATCTTCATTCCATCGTTTTTGGGTACCGTGCTACACAATTTAATGAGATCTTGAATGAGATGTCACCAAGTCAACATCCAAGTTCAACTCAACAACGATATTGTAATGCAAACATATTACGTGGTCCGACAGTGATGTTATTCAAATATGCCATACCTACCTCTGTCATAATAATCCACAACATCCTTTGTAGGTGTTGGGGGAGTTGCACTCGGTCCATTCAACTCGCATATAGCCTGAAATGGTTTGTCGCCAACTAGTTTCCTAAGGTTGTAGGAGTTGCATGTTTCAGGAGTGGCGCTACAGGTCGCTGCACACCTTGCGTTTGTGAGGACTTTGAAAGACTTGAATGGACTGTCCAATCTTTCGTTGCGTGGAAACTTAATGAAACTAAAGTTTCTAGGATCCTGATTAGACAGATCTATTGCAATGTTCACAGTATGTGTTTCAATGATTGAAATAACACAGGCAAAGATCACTGTACGTACCGGCATCTTCTTGTCCCTTTAAAATATTCGTCAGCGATACTCCTTTCCAATTTCCCTAGGTAATAACAGGTTGATAGTTGGAAATGGTTTAAATGAAGTGCTGCTAAATACCAGAACTTTTTGATAAAATTACTACAAGTATTGTATTCATTCATTCATAATTGACAAGTTACTGCTCATTTGTTTTGTGTTAAGTTAACCGAACAATTCCACGGAGTAACAAATCCCATCGAACAAAATATGTTTGATAATTACTTGATTTACTTATCCCTAGATATCTGCACTGCACTATCGTCCACTGGTATTTGAGTTATAAAGAATTACGTTTACCTTACAAATCTACTGTGTCATTAGGCATCAACATCTTTAATTTGAACCAAATTCGTTCACTGGTATTTCAGTTATCGAAGATTGCATTTTTTCAAAATGGCGGCCATTTTGAAATTCATCAGCCATTTTTTCTGAAACAGACCCACAGTTGCCTTAAGCTTCGGCATATAAAATTTGAACCAAATCCGTTTACTGGTGCTCGAGTTACCGAAGACTACATTTTCCGAAAAATGGCAGCCATTTTGATATACATCCGCCATCCTGAAAATTCTTTCTGAAACAGAGCTACTGTGTCCTTAGGCATCAGCATATAAAATGTTAAACAAATCCGTTCACTGGTATGGTATTTAAATTATCAAAGATTACGATTTTTAGGAAAAATGGCGGCCATTTTGATATTAAGCTCTTCTTGAGCACAGCTCCTTTGTCCCTAGGCATCAGTGTATAAAACTTGAATCAAATCCATCAACAAGTATTTAATTGATTCATCAAAGATTACATCATTTACCAAATATGGCGGCCATTTTGAATTGAGCGGCCTTCTCGAGCAGAGGTCTTTTATCACCCTATGCAAACAGATCGCATATACAGGGTGTTAAAAAAAAACGCAACCCAAAGAAATCGCTATATCTTGGAAAATACTTATACAATTGCACTCATTTTTTCAGGAAAGAAAGAAGAGACTGTGCATGTAGAGCTCCTGTAGTTATTTAGTTGTAAAACATGAAGCCCTGGACGCCTGCTCAAAAGACATTAGTATTAGAAAGATACAAAAAATGCAGTCAAAGGTGACTGCCACAGCAATAAAACTGAATAACTTTCCAACCATAGTGTTTTGGCACTTCAGATTTGGCACAAATTATCCTCATTCAATGTGTGGTGAATTTGTGGAGTTTCATCAAAATTGCTTCAGGGACTTTACAGTCATGGTCAAAATACCTTCTTAAGTCTGCCTGAACCAGGGCGTTTGACTGCGTTTTGAACGCATTTCGACCATATCTGTAAAGTCCCTGGGGTGATTTTGATTTCACTCTACAGATTTACCATACTTTGAATGAAGATGATTTGTGCCAAATTTGAAGAGCTAAAACACTATGATTAGAAAGTTATTCAGTTTTATTGCAGTGGCAGTCACTCTTGACTGCGTTTTTCGTATCTTTCCAATACTAATGTCTTTTGAGCAGGTGTCTAAGGCATCAAGTTTTATGACTTACCAACTACAGGAGGTATACATACACAGTCTCTTCTTTCTTTCTTGAAAAAATGAACATAATTGCATTAGTACTTTCCAAGATATAGCAATTTCTTTGGGTTGCGTTTTTTTTTAACACCCTGTAGTACAATGGTATGATGCGAGACTCGACAATAAGCAGGAAACTAGAAACATTTTGTCAACCATAAAACAAATTATTTTTATTGCTTAATTAAGTGTTAATGACAGTCACATGTAGTTCTACATGGCGTTCAGTAAGTAAAGCTAATTTTACTCTCAAACTTCTTTTTCTTGTGATTCATCATTTAAATTTTTAGAGAAGAAGCATTTCACATTCTTCTAACTTCCCCGAAAATATTATTGACATATAATAAATAATAGCAAAAAAGTGGTTGTCATAGTAACGCGGATACAGGTTCTGTGGAGCAATTTTAATAGTTGGATTTTTAGCTTTAGTTTCTGTCCTGTCTATGTTTTGATCATAGTTCTCTGGCTGCTCAACATTTCCACCATCAAGTTAACAGACCATTTGATGTTCATAATAGTTCCTCTTAGCTTTCACACATAATTGGTGTCATTCTACCCACTTCTCGGAACAACCCATTCTGCACCATCTTGTCAATGCGATTTATAAGGAGATGCTCTGAAGAGGCCCCCAAGACTCTCAACTACTATATATTCCATCAGCAGAATAATGCACAGTCGCATAGGTCGCAAATTGGGCAGGATACTATCCAGAAAACACTCAGAGATGGGGGTTCAAATTAAAACCTGTCAGCATATTCTCCTGGCAAGGCACCGTGCGATTTTGAGGTATTTTCATGTTTGATAAATGATATGTGTGGTAAGATCCATGCAAATATCCATGAGCTTCAGAATACTGTTCAACGTTCGCTGACAAAGAACTTTCCAGATGAGTTCTACAGAATGTACCAGAAGTAGGTAGAACGACACTTGATAGATATAATATCTATGTGTGAAAAGCCAAGAGGAGCTATTTTGAACATGAAATAATATTAACTTGATGGTAGAAATGTCGAGCAGCCACAGAACTGTGAAATTTGAAATGATGAATGACAAGAAATAAAAATTTGAGAGCAAAATTAGCTTTACTTACTGAACGCCCAGCATATGTATGAAGATAACATAACCCGTTGATATTTTAAGGAAACTCGTTTGGAAAGTGATGGCCGTGATTGAAAATACGATGTAAAGACAAAAACAATGGCATTTTGCAGATTTCTTTGAAAAACTAGTAAGAAATATACATCATACGGGTATAACGTATAAGTATATTGTGGATCATATTAGATCCCTCGACATTGGGGTAGATATTAATGGTGAAAAAGTGTCAATACTTCTCTCTGCGGATGACATTGCACTTATCGGTGACTCCGAGGAATCAATACAGCAAATGTTAGACACTTTAGCAAGATGGTGTAGCAAATGGAGAATGACAGTTAACATCACAAAAACCAATGTTGTCCATTTCCGTCCTAAATCTGTGCAACGATCACAGTTTAACTTTATGTATAACGACAATGCTATCAACGTATCAGAAAAATACAAGTATCTTGGCCTTTGGTTCAACGAGCATTTAGACTTTACCCAGATGGCTACCTCTATCGCACAGGCAGCAAGTCGCGCTCTAGGACTAGTAATTGCCAAGTACAAGGCAAATGGTGGTATGTAGTCCATTTGTCACCTCTATACATACTATAGTGAACCTATGAATTGTTAAAAACACGATGTTTTATGGTTAATTTATAATAACAAGGGTTTTCTGAAGTGATTTAACTGGGTTGGACAAAAAGTTAGTTTGGGGAAAAAGTATATCGGCTAATTAGGGAGGGGTGCATTGGCTTAACATGGCGGTGACTATTGACTTAGCGTCGGGATACCACCATGTACCTGGTATGTTAATACCATGGTGATAGATACAAAAAATTTCCCCAACGTTAATTTTTTGGCAACCCAGCTAAATCACTCCAATAAACCCTAATGATAGTATTTGCACATAAAACCATCATGTTTTTAAATATTCATACGTTAAGAAAATGACAAATGGACTATATGCCATTTAAATGCTTTACAAGACTGTACGATAGTTTAGTCACACCAATTTTGGTATACGGTGCAGAAGTCTGGGGATTTAAGGAGTATGCATGTATTAATACTGTTTTCCACAGAGCCTGTAGAGCATTTCTTGGATTAGGTAGGTATACACCCAACCTTGCTGTCCAGGCGAGATGGGGTGGACCTCACCATTTGAAAAACAGGTGAAGAAAAACCATAAGTTTAACTTTCGACTTCAGTCTCTTAGCCACAATAGGTTGACCAACCGTATTTACCATTGGAATGTTTTACGTGCTAACAGTGGAAAGAAAAACACCTTATACCACCTGAGGCAGGTTTACGATTCTCTCCAGGTTAATAATGACGACCCGGTGTCGGCGATTGTGTCACCTCTGGAACGTCAAATGCAGAACAACTGGCAAACAAGACTCTGGGACGATACAAAGCGTCAACAAGGTCAAGGAAACAAACTCAGAACTTTTAGAACCTATAAACATGACATAAAAACAGAAAGATATGTTACATCAACGCTTTCTATCTCTCAAAGAAAGGCATTTAAATTGCCTCAATAAGATGTGGTGTAGCACCAATAAGAATAGAAACTGGTCGTTATGAAAGGCTGCCAGTTGATGAAAGGGTGTGTCCTTTATGTGATAATGCAATTGAAAATGAAAGACATGTAATTTTGAACTGTTCTCGTTATGAAGACATCCGTTTAGACTTGTATGCAAACGTTTCTACTATTGTAACTGGTTTCATGAATTTAGATGAAGAGAGTAAATTTCAGTGTTTAATGTCTAATGACAGAATTTGTCTCTTCACTGCCAAAGCCTGTGACCGGATGCTTAAACGACGGGAACATTTTATTTACAAAACATGATTAATATGTTTTTACAAAAGTGTCTTATAGGCCCATAGGGGGCCTGGGGTGATTTTAACAGTGTACTCTTGTTTTATATATGTAATTGAATTTTAACTCATGACACTATAATAAAATAAAAATAAATAAATAAATAAAAATAACGTTTTCAAAACGGAAAAAATATATAAATTTCATGAGGTTGCATTAACATTTGTTTCATATAAACAAAAATTTTATTCGAACTTATGATCGATCAAAGCATGATGTTACTTTAAGCCTTACTTTCCATACATATTTTTCTGTTTTGAAAAAAACTTTGAATCAAATCTGTCAAGCGGTATTTGAGCTATTTTTCGGAGAGACGAATAGCCGAATGGCTTTTCTATATCCCCTACGAACTTTGTTCGGGTGGATAATAAATTATTTATATATCTCCTGTTTTTCATTGGAGTAACGATAGTCTGACGATACGTGAATGTGATCATAGGTTCTGTTTAATTAGACTAAATGTATACCGCACCGATTGCACTTTTAAGCCAGTTTTTCTTACTGATCTGTCCTCAACAGCCAGATTGCAATACTTAAAACAGTTTGTCTTTTACTGTGTATATCAACAGAAATGAAAAAGCATCTAGCATTTACTCAAACGTGTCAACCCGTGATAGATATCGAAAATTTGGTTTAGTCAACTCCTACATTTATGTAATTAATGACAGGTAAAGTGGGATTAATCAATCAACTAATGCACTCCCAGAATGCAGAAATCCAATGTGTAGCAAAATTGATCGTTCCACTTAAAATTAATTATTTTTTAATTTCAGCAATCACTGAAGCGTTCGATCCAACAAATAATTCATGAGCTCTTGGGAATATCCCACTTTCTATATTACTCTATGCAGACAGATTGCATAACGTTACAATCACATGATGCAAGACTCGACAATAAGCAGGAAAGTTGCATGAAACATTTTGTGAACCATGTACTGTAGCAAACTATTTTTATTGCTTAATAAAGGGTAAATGACAGTTTGGTTTAGATTATAAGTATGAGAATAACATAATATTTTGATATTTCAAGGACACTCCTTTGAAAATTGATGGCCGTGATTGAAAATACGATGTAAAGAGAAAACTGCAATGGAATTTGTAGTTTTCTTTGAAAAACTAAGAAATATACTTGACACATTGATGTTTTCAAAATAGAAAAATATGTATTAAGAGTAAGGCCTACAGGTCCTAGTTGCATTACAATTTGTTTCGTACATGACATACAATAGATATTTAAAACACAAATATCATTCGAACTTATGATCGGAAAAAGCATGATGTTATTTTATTACCCAAAAGTACGGTCTCCCCTTTACCTCTCCAGTGGTAATTGTGTGGTCAGTTTTGTTGATTGACATATTCACAGAAATGTATAGATATTTGCGCGTGCGTCCTGGACCAGGCTTGATGTAGCAGTCTCTCCAGAATTATATCACATGTAAGGTCGCATATGATTTTTGGACTCAGTGCAATGTGGAATTATCATTCCTTGAAGGTGTTGCTTGCCAAAACTTGCATGAGATGCGCAGCATAGAGTATTTGTTTTAGAAAACGACGCCTAAAAAGAATGGTCATCATTCAATACATCGAGTCTTTTCCCACATTGCAAAATATTCTCAACCATGTCACTTAAAACGTAATGTGTTTATTAGTGTTTATAAATAAAACAAAATGTTGAGATTTACTAATTTTGTATCTTAAAAGATACAAAGTCACTAAAAGAAACATATTTTCAATGAAACTTTTCGCAAGGATCAAGTTGGCAAAGCATCAATTTCAATCACTGCAGTTGTATACTCTGTTTGGATTGGCTGGAATCGGACATACCGTGCCTAGATATGTGAATAAGATATAACTAATCCCAATTCCCATACAATATACCATATTTGATCATGCTTTGGAATAGGGAATTGTTTTTCTTATGACGAAGTTGTCGAAAACCTTTTTGCTCGTCTCTAGCTAGTGACAGTATGATTGGTCAAAACCTGGTCACATGTCGTGGGATATCTGGCGATATTCAATGGCAATGCTAATCAGATAAGACAACCGTGAGATATCTAGCGATATCCCACGCTCCCGGGAATTTTCAAAGAATTTGTTTTCGTTCAGTGTAAATAATTTAGTTCAGTGTAAGTCAAAATGGCAGAATAACCGAGTAGATTAAAGAAATATATGTATTTCAATGTTAACCTATGACTTAATAATATTAAGGATGTTTAGCTAGACAGTGATATAATAAAACAAATATTTCACTCTATTTTCGGTGAATACCTGTAGCACTTTCACAAGGTGATATTCCACTTGCCCTTCAGGCTTCGTGGAATATCACTTGTGAAAGATGTACAGGTATTCACCTCAATAGAGTGAAATATTTGTTCAATATTTGTAGTCTTTACAAATTGAGGTTAGAACAGACATTCACATTCATAGCACATTTATATTTTGTCTATGTTAAAATTAAGTCATACAATTACAAGCCTACAACTACAGAACATGATTGTAAATAATAATTTGTTATGGCACGTATGAATATATTTCTGGATACAGAATCATCACATTTTATAACATAATCACTTCCCCATTTCAGCGTCTCTGCCTTGAGAAAACACCTTAATACTGCATACAGTATTGTCACCATCAAAAATATCATAAAATTAACTTATCACCAGGCTCTGTGTATTACATCATTTTGCAAAAAAGCACCAGGTGTTCTCACCATCAAAAATATTTTATGATGCACCCTGTTCAATTCAAAATGCATAAATTTCTAAATAAGGCATCAACATGAGTCACCACCTTTTAAATTATTGCAAATTGTTATAGACGCCACATGTTACAAAAGCCGAACGCAGATTGTTACAGACGCAGACCGTCTAGAAAAACGTTGGAGACTGTAACAATGTCACAAGTGGTGACATAAAAACACATAGCTTTGTAAGGTTACTACTATGGTATTCGTGATGTCATTGGCATAATGATCGCAATGGAATGACCTTTGTGTTTAATCGACCCTAAAAGGCAGATTCTCTCCTGGAATGTCTAATCTCATACTCCAACATTGGAATCAGTTTATTGGAACTTTTATTGAATTTAGCGAACACCATCAATTTCTCAGCATCTTCTCCTGTCGATATGGTGCCTTCCCAATTGTCCCCTTCTCGTTTCAAAGGAATGAATTTATCTAAGAGTTTAACGTCCATACTAACAGCTAGAGGCGATTCAATCAGGAATTTCACATCTTCGCTCCCCATCAGGCTGCCATTAAGAGGCTCATGTAAAGCACAGTCGCGCCATCTTCTGGAGGTTTTAGGGAAAGGAGTTGCACCTGAGAACGCCATCTGGCAATCAATCAGGTATTTATATACACATTCCATGGCCTCGCCTTTCGGATCATCCGTACAGAATATCGAGAGCACATAGAACCCTTCGGTTGGGCATTTCACGGCATAGACACAGTTCGCCTCGTCCATTTGGATAAGCACAGCAAACCTATCTTGATCTACAAACGATTTGTTATGGCTGTCAAACAGTTTCATAGTGTGTGAAAATACAAGCTGCTCATCAACCTCAAACGAAAGGAAAAGTTCTTCGTTTTTGCAAAGAATAAGAGGGTCGTGGTCTTGCCGCTCATCTTCAGCCAATCCCATTAGTCGCATCAGCGGTGTTCTCCCAAACTGACCTACATTTGGGAATCTCGGGAGATGTCCTCTCACACCTGAGCAGACAATCAGAAAAGAGCAGGCGTGCTCCATAGAGTCAGACTGCCAGTCATCGGTGATGTAAATATCCCAAATAAATTTACCAGATTTTGGTAGATGGGCCGTGAAGATTGCAACATTGTCAATTGTTCTGATCATAGTACGTCCAGCCAAGATCAATTGCTTCATTTTGCGGTCATGTAACTCAAGGGTACACGAAAAGCCGACGAGTTTCGGCATCTTGATTTCAACTTCCGCGATGCCGTCATCGGAATGAACTATTGCACTTGTCTTCACAACAAACGACATTCCGTAGTTGAAGAATGGTGATTTCAACAATGGCAGACGCTCAAATTGCTCCAACGTCAGACGCCTTGGAAGTAATTGCCATGCAGGGTCATCAGGGAAATGCTGATGGATATGCTGACGGGGATCTGTTAGAAAATAAAACTCGTCACAACGATAGAATAAACGTGTTTTGTCATGTCCCGATCGTGCTTTGACGTGCCTGGACCCCCAGTTGCAATTGACGAACCGCCATTGCCCGTCAATACACACTGCAGTCCATTGGTTTCTGAAGTGTTTGTTGTCAATACGAATCCCTGGTCTGTATCCAGCACCTTTAGAGTAACCTTTGATAATGTGACAATGCATACCAGCATAACTGAAAAATAGGTAAAATGCATATTACATTAATCAGAAAATGACTATCGGTACAAATAGAGCAGAATAATCGTTATTTGTTCTCGATGTTTTCGCAGCGTACAATAATCTAGAATTCTTCTCTGAAATAAAAAAAAATTAAATAAAAAAATAATAATAAATTTTTTTAACTTCCCTCATGCCCATAAAATAATGGGCTGTATAAAGATAATAATGAAAAACGATACCGAATGGTGGCTGGATTTAGAATATCTTGAAATGACGAAACTGTACGAATCCCTGTGATGTCTTCTCCAATGTGTATCATTTGAACAAATCTATACCAAAACAGTTGAACATAGTCAGTAGACGGAGACTTACTTTCACATTAAACAGCATCTAGCATCTAAAAATATAGGAAAACAGTACATAAAAACATACCTGCAAAGTCTCTTGAGTAAGTCGTGATAGCTCTCTGTACCATACTTGATTCCCCTAAGAATCCCAAGTGGAGAGTCAGACTGAATGGACTGGTCAAACTGCAGCCTGCTTAAGTCCTTAGCGGTAATCCATCTGAATATTGCCCTACAATAATGTATTTATCTTTGTTAAAATTGTTCTATAATTTATCTGTTGAGTATATTAGGAAATTCCTTGTGTTCATATTTCCTTTACAGTTGTTATCAATTTATTTCAAAATACATTTATACATCTTTTTTCTAGTAATTATATTTTGTGGCGATGTGACTTTGGGCCACTTTTCTAAATGTGAGAATAGTTAAATGTAATATATATATGTATAGTTTTAATCAATTTCACTTACCTTATTTTTTCGAGCTCACTTCCACAGTCTTTTGTCAAAGCTTTTACTAATGCAGTGAAGTTGTTGTGTTCAAGTTTGGAAACCTAAAATAACAAATGGAATACATATTTGGTACAACTACCAGGAGTTGAAGCAAGTAAACACTCCTCTACGTATGGTGGAGTTTGCTGAAAAATTGAACAATGAACCTTTATATTGCACTATTACATCACAAACTCCCCCATTTGGTACCCCCCATTTACTTTTGAAGAAGATTGCACAAGTACTTGTGGCTGAATTTTATGTCAAGAAATTCTCCCTCTTTGCTGTCTACTTACTTCGATGGCCTGTTTATCCAATTTCTGAAATATTTCTGGCGAGTCATAGATTTTTTCCTTCCCAAACTGTGGCGGAGCAACATCCGGTACAACGGAATGATCAAAGGGCATTTCAGCTCTTGGAGAACCTGGTTGGCTCATTGAGGACAGCCTTTTCTGGGTGGCACTACTAACTGTAGAAGGTTGCCTTTTTACACCCTTCTCACGCATTTTGACTTCATCTCCAAATACGTCATCGTCTTCTTCAAAGTCGCCATCATGAGTACCTGAACTATGACGTTTTGACCGTCGTCTACTCAGACTGTCTGTCCCCCAGTGAGTTGTTGAGCCCCTTGCTTCTGGATCATACTTAGAGCCCCGGGATCGCCCGCGGGATGATTTGGAGTCTGACCTAGATACACCTTTGCTTTCTTGACGCCTGGCACCACGATGTCTTGGGTCTTGGTCCGGGTCGTAAATGGAGCTTGATCCAGACCCATTTGAACCACGTCTCTCATGGGACATGCCTATATTGAATGATAAAATAATATAATATAATGGCTCTTGCGGTTAGGCTATTTTGAGAAAAAATGGAATTAGTGTTCATACTCAATGAGTATTTTTCTTCATAATTATGAGGTTACTGCATTTAAACAAAAACATTGCACAATCACAAACATAGTCACAAACATATAAAACAGATCTGTATTATGGTGCCTGTATGGACATTCAAGGATGCAAAATACAGAGTGTCCAAAAACAGGACCGAGAAAAAATTAATTAACTCGATCATTCTTGCATATGTTGCCTTGAAAATTTTCCGAATCACTTACTAGCATAGTAGTTCATTCAGTGTGAAAGTTTGATGATATTCTGCCTATCAAGTCAAAGACTAAAATATTTTACAAATCTGTAACAAGTGGGAACTTCCCTCTATATAAAACCGTACATAAAGAGGAGAGGTGACCACTTGGGGCATGTTGTGTAAGACATTGTAGTTTTTGACTTAAGGTAGATTATCATCAAAATGAACTAGGCCTCAAATGTCACTGTGCAGGATGCAAGATTGAGTTAATAAACTTTTTTCTTCAGTCATGTTTTGACACCCTGTAGAAGCCAAGCGTTGATGAGATTAGGAACACAGTAATTAAACCTGACAGTACCCGAGGCCTCAGCACCCAAGTGAAAGGAGTCATCTGCGCCAGAATGTTCTCCTGGGAGATATAACTCATCACCATGTTCTGCCTCTGAACCAGGCCGATGTTTGGTCCATGGTTCAGTCCCAGGAGGAAACTCCTCACCATCTATTTCTCGAGCCTGAATTTCTCGATCCTATAACAATTTGAAATGTAGTTTAACTTATTTTATATTACATCATTTCGCAAGATATGCGCGCAAATGTACCGTTTCCTTCAAATATGTATGTATGTATGTATTTATTTATTTAAGTGTCACGCCAATGTATAAAATTACATATTATTAAAAACTACATAAAATCACTGGCCCTGCCGGTGTCGGCATATGAGACACTATGGTGTACAATAATCACTTTTAAGACCAAAGTTTTTAAATAAGTTAAAATGATCGTCTTTTAATACATAGTTTAATAATTGTCTTTCCCAAACGACGTTGAATGAGCTCACAGTTCATTATTAAACAATATTTTGCAAGGTTAGATGTTTCAAAGTCATCGCCAAATATTGTCCTTGCACTATCCATAAGCTCACTCCTCTCGAGCTGGTATAAAGGGCATTCTATCAGAAAATGCAGTTCTGTTTCGACAGCATTACCGCAATGACAGAGGCGCTCCTCAAGAGGCATATTGATATAACGGCCCGTTTCTAATTTTAACGGTAAAGTGCCACTTCGTAGTTGAGCAATGGCACGTCTTTCATGGCGGGTGAGGTTAGCATATATCATTTGGGAAACCTAATTGAGCCGTGCATTTTTTGATCGTAAAGAAAGATTACTTGAACTCTTATGCCTCACTTTATTTGGGTATATTCAAGCTTTTGTTTATCTATCAACTTATATTCAATGTACACAGTAGTGCTAGTTTTGTATCCTCCTAAGCAGGTTCCAGAATCCGAACCTCCTTCTTCCCGGAAAAGAGAAGATATTCTGGATCCCGAAGCCCTGTGATCGGAGGACGTAGTTTTGAATAGATTGTATTGCTTGATATATTCTGGTGTATAAATCCTTTTTTTGAATGTTGTATTAAAAACCAGGGCGTTCAATAAGTTCATACAATAATGCCCTCATTTTCAATTTTTACTCTACAAGTATACCTTATCCGCAAGAAGCAGCAACATCTCTTGTGCGTGCCTTTCAACGATATCTGAAACCCTGGCACGTTCATCCATGGCGAGCTTTGCAAGCAGCTTCTTCAACCTTTCCTCGCGTTTGTCTTTGTAGACATCATCCAGTTCCCTCAGTCGCTTCTCTCTCTGCTCGTCTAGCTCCTCGCTGTAGCCTTCAACTTCCTCTGTAAAATGAATGTAAAAACCATTGAGTCTCTGTTTCTATTTTTTAATCCTTAAATATTTTCATTTAAAATGTCATTTATTGCAAAGGTCAAAGGTATGAAATAAAAAAATGTCAGGCTAGATGCATGTGTATTAGATTTAGTTAGGTAGGTAAGTCATTCAGTATAAGTTCAAATGCTGCCCCTCGTGTTATGTGGTATCAACAACATTATCCGGCCACAATGGCATCATGAAGCTCAGTAATCTTACCCCGCCTATTAAAATACTCAATGAGTTCCAAAACAGATTTCTCCTTTTCCTCCCTAAGCTTCTCATCCATCTTTCTGATTGCCCCCTCTCTCTCCTCAAAGATCTGCTTGTAGAGCCTATCCTCTTCCTCTTTGTGCTTTTCTTCCAGAGCCTGCTGTGCGTCAAACACTCCATGTTTCTCAAAATCCTACAAATGTACATAAATACACGAATATTCGACTGTCTTTTTGTCATTTTTTAAATTCTAGAATAATCCAGTAGAAAAAATATTAATTCAATATTTTTTGATTGAGACAAGTCAATAATTATGCGTAAAGTTTATTAGCAGCGTGCCATGTATTTCACATTTTCAAGAAGGCAGATTTAAGCCTCGGTCATATTCACTCTACGGCTTCACAAAACGATATAGAAAATACACATCGTACTGCTTATCCCTAGATTTCATATTTCTCTCGATTTTGGGAAGCTACGGTCGCACTACGGTTGCAGTAGATCAAATGTGACTGAGGCATTACAGATATTCAAAATGGCCGTTACCATGCAGTATTTTACATTAAACACTTTTTATTAACCTCTATAATATAGCAAGGATGTTACTACGAAGAACGATGAGTTGTCAATAAATGATGAACACTTTTAAACTTTACGTGTACTTACGTCATAGGTTCTTAGAGGTGTTCTTGTCGTGTTCTGCTGGCTCAGATTCCGTATGTGGTCAAACTCCAGAGCTTTGTTGTCGTATTCCCATCCTTTTTTCTGCAATATGCCCCGGATCTTGAAGAGATGAGTACATCATCGTGTTAGCTGTTAGCGTGTTAGCTCAAAGTGTCCTATATTATGTATGGTTAGATATAGGCGTCAAGGAAGACGCACGAGGGTATGGGTCAAGGTCGGTGTAGTCCTGATAATAAACTAAGAAAGAAGCTTGAAAGCATTTCCATTTCCCGATTTCAGTCCAAGAATTTCAATAAACATCCATTTTACATTCATAATGTGACATATATTTAAGTCCTTAAATACAGAATTAACCATTATGTACTAAGCAGGCAATGGGGAACCCCTCTGGGTTCCTCCTCCAATATTCAGGTACTTTTATAACAGGAACCATTCCACAATTTTTCACCAAGCCTGAGCCAACGTTAATTACAAGCGACGTTTCCGTGTATGTCATTTTGACCTATTTTAACAAATTTACATCTTATTTGACCTATACATTGACAAAATCTCACACTATCTAAAGATTTTTGATATTCTCAATCATACCATTAATTTTAAAAGTTTATCCCCTTTGACCGTTCATGTTATAACAATAGGGTTGCCTACATTTGGGTCAAACTAAATTAAGCCTCAGTCCCATTTGCTCTACGGCAGTCGTAGTTTCAAAAATCGATATAGAAAATCTACATCGCAATGCTTTGATCCCTATTATGTTATGCTGCATATTTATCTTGATTTTAGTAAGCTACGGCCGCCGTACGGTTGCCGTAGATCAAATGTGACTGAGACATTATTCATAAGTTATAGAAACAGCAGATGTGCTTAACTAATATGCGCGTGACTGCACACATTTAGACTTGCACAAAGCCTCCATCCCAACCCCCTCCCCCCACGATCCACACTTCGGCCCAAAGCAGACAAGAGAAGATTACTACTACCAGTCGTTGTCAGGTTATTTATTGAGATAAAAGGTGCTTTCAGAGGGAGAATGGAAAAGACAGAGACTAAGTGCAGGGTTACCCTATCTAAAATATATAGTTAGTTAATTATAAAGCAGGTTATCAGATGAAGTTGATAATAGTAAATATCACTATCATTAACTTCATTTGGTTCTGCAATGGAATGATTTACACAATCAAGGCATTGTGGTAGAAATTAGAAGTAGAGTCGCAAACGTTTCTATCACATTGCCTGTGAAAATATGCACTATTTAATTTAATATAGAAATAAAAATGTATACATAATAAACTCATATATCTTAAGTAGATGTCGAGAGTATATGAATAATAAATTTATTATAATTCGCCTTGTCAAATAAAAATGAGCTTTACAGCGACTTTAAAAAAATTAAATATTAAGTAGTTTTTGTGTTTCCTCTTTTAAATAAATACAATATATGAGCAAACAATTAATATATGTAGATATGCTAATGTCAAAATACATCGTACAATATATAAATATCAGATAACAGATTAATACACAAGAATAGTTCATACATAAACAGGGTGAGCCAAAAGAATCTCTAAATCTGAGTAGAAATCTGTCACTTGATTCAAAACAATATTTGGACGGGCATTACCAAAATAGAAGTATGAGAAGTAGTAGGAAATTGCCCTCGAAATTGCCCTCTAAATTTTTAATTGACACAAACAGACAAAAAATTAATGAAAATTAATGCGATATTAATATAAGGTAGTCGCACAGTCGTACCAGTATCAATCACAGATGGTCAATAACTATAAGGCTGGTAAGATTTTGGACATTGTTTTTGGCCCACCGTGTTCCAATAATACAAAACTTCAAATGGCATAGGTGGTCTTCGACACCAAGTGTCTCAAGAGGGCTAATTATGGAAGACGACCTCTGCCACTGGAGTTTGCCATCATAGAAATACATAATGATGCACGATAACATTGCACTGAACTGCTATATAACTGAGATTTGTTTTTGCTCAATTTTATAATTCTATGAGCATATTTTTGTTTAGTTTCATTTAAACCTAAGGTGTTTCTAGTCTTTTCTCGGCAATGGACTCAATGGTCTATATCTCTGCAAGAAAAGTTAGTGAATCGCAATTACTGTAAATGTTTTTACTGTTGGACGATTGATCTCATTGTTATTGCATCTTTGCTTATTAGTACAAAAATTGGCCTACTTAATTAGGGCACCTTAATAGTTAAATAACAAACAATGTTGTATTGTAAGTAAGGTATATGGTGTGAATGAGGGCACTCAAATCCAGGACTCAAATATGTGTTGCATAGAAATATATGATAGACGATGTAAATACGAACTCTGTAAACAGCAATTTGAATTCCGATACTATGAGTAATTTTGTCATTGAATTCCAAACCAAGTTCCGTCGGAGTAAATTCGTAAATAGCTTTAGAGCTTAGCACATAATTTGTTTATCAATACATTAATACATGGAACAAGGTCAGCAACGTTTATTTTATGAATAGTGTTATCTGAGGCTTTTATTGACATTGGGTTTTACCTGTGGATTGTAAGCGTCTGTTCCTTTAGGAGCATGCAAAGCTGACTGGATCCCCAATGCATCTTTTCCGAATCTCGCCGTATTTTTTGGCACGTGCCCTTCGCAGAACACCTCTCGCTGCGCTCCATCCCCGTCTATGCTCGAGCTTTCTTCGTCAACCCATTGAAAGTTTTTAATTGTCAACTGTATTCCGCAAACTTTACACCGGAAGCACTGCCGATGGTAAACAATGCCTAATTTTATGCAGACTTTTTCCACTGGATATACACGTTTAGCACATCTATGGCACTTGTCCTGTCGTTGAGTATAGTTGCTCGGAGTCCATGGTGTCTGTCCACGTCTGTTTACTAGTTCGCTTGAACCTCCCGAGTGAAGTTGGCTGTCTAATGTACCACCGCCTGTCGCCATATTGTATCGCGGCTCATACGGTCGAGCCTCATCGTCATAATCGAGTATTTTCAACGAGGTAGCCAAGTTTTTCGTCTTCGGGTTGTATCTAATCATCGTCTCTGGTTATTCATTAACGCGATGGCTGATAAAGAGGCACTTCGTATCCACTATTTACCTGTATTTACCTGGGCAAAGTCAAAGCATACCTGTGTCAGGTGTAATCAGGAAGTAGGTCAAATGTTGTTTATATTTAGCTTACGCACTGCGCGACATCTTTCAATAAGGCGTGTAATAAAAGTAAATTAACTAAACCATAAGTCTATTGTAAATATATTTCATAAAATCTACAATACGTACGTTATTGATACCCTCGAGTTTTTACTATAAGACGTGACTTAAATGTAATTTGTGTCTTACTTATGTAAAGGAGGGAATATATACTTTGACTATATATACTTTGTTACTTTGACCGAACGTCAATGTAACAAAATGGATGAACTCCCTGGATACGAGTCTTTTTGTTTTCTCGATTAAACCTACTTATAAGTCAAGTTGCAGATTATGATTTGGCACAAAGTTAGACAATATAGTCAATGTCTTTTGTTTAGTTCAGTGCTGAAATAGTTGTGCCAGGAATTCCCGGAGCGGGATGTAAAGCCATCGTACGTCCCGGATAATGCCATATGCGGGACATACGAAATATATTTGCCCGGATATCGAATAATTATATATTCCCGGTTAATATGTCTCTGAAATCTCATCAGGTATAGAAAACAGTTATATATATAATTCATTTGCAAATAAAAACAATAAACCTATCAAAACACTTTGGTTTACATTGTTAGAAAGTATTTACACTCGCAGTGTCACCTAGTTGATTTCAGAACCATCTGACTTTCGATTGACTACTTTGTACATGTATATGTATTGTATATTAAAATAGGGAATATATCGCCATCTGTGGACGTATGATTGTAACGACGTCGGCTCTCTTCTGAAATCTACAACTTAGATGTTGACGCGGTCTTCAAATTCACTGCTCTACTCATGCTACTTTCCATATCTAGTCCTTCAAAGTCAACAAAAGCACTCTCATAAAATCCTTCTTTGATGTCTTTCAATGTGTCTCTGTTGAACCCCGCGGGAGGGGTGTACCTTAGAGCCCTCTCTTTAGCTGTCTTGAGCAAATCTCCAGAATCTGCCAGCTCATGGACGATACCCTCCTGTTTGGCTTCATTTCCAGTGTAACGTCGACCTTGCATGACACATTCAACCAGAGTTTTGCCATCAAGCTTCAACCTGTTTTGAATAATAACGAAATGTTAATGAATGGCGAGGAATTATAGAGCTGTAAAGACTCAAGTGTCTGTAACATGAATGTTTTTAGCTGGAAAACATCATTTGTAAGACGTGATCAAGGACTTAAAATTAAAAGTTCCAACTTCACTTTTTAAATCATTAAATGGCTGACAGCTGTAATCTCAAGCCCAAAACAATTAATTTTTCGAATTCATGACGATATGTTACAATCAATAGACTCGAATTGAAACCTGCTTTTCTGTCAAAAATCATGTTTACTAATTTCAGATTTTTGAAATATTTTTTCTTGACGTGCTAATAACCTTGCGTTTAGTAAGGTTAATGAGTTCAGAAATTATGGTTTACCTTGTTATTTCTCTAGTGAATGGATTAAACCTCAGGTTTATATGGACTTCATTGAGACAGAACCAGCCTCGGTCTCGCCTCATGACCCGGAAGTCATGCATCAGTGCGAAAACAGCACCACCAGCATAACAATGACCTACATGAATACAGAACATTTTGCGCTGTACTTTATATTAGTACAGTTAAGTACCATCCGTTTTACCTACAAGAATGTAAATGTTACCTTTCCAGAGAATATTTACATTACAGGGTAGTCCAAAAATGGGACATTCGTATTTCAAAAATAAAAATTGATATCATTAATGAAAACGGGAATTTACTTATCTTTAATTTGGTATATCATAAGTTCAAATTTATTATAATGCCTATCATCCAGCGTCCATAATTCAAATGACGTCATTGTCGTTTCAAAACGGTTTTCCAAAAACTTTTAAAAATCAAGTTTTTGTCAACATAAACAGATGTTCAATATGTCCACTATTCTGATCAAATATAGCCCTCAATCTTGGCATAAACTTGTCGATATTAGATATGCTTTTGAAAGAATAAATTCCACTTCTCCACAATTCTGTCCTCAAAGGACTGTATAGATGCAATGGGTTCATGTTACACCAACTCTGTTAGTTCTCCTCATACGTGGTAGTCGCAGAAGTTAGCATTAGGTGTTCTGGTTTGAGGGGGGGGGGGGTATTAAGGGGGATGATTCAATATGCCCTGTACTAAGGACTTATTCCTGATCTCATATTCTGTTTATTACATTTTCCAACAAGAAGGGGCTCCAAACCATAGATCACACAAGACAGTAAAATATTTAAAGGAGAATGTGCCTCAATTCATACCCACTTATCACTGGCCCCCCAGATCACCTGATGCCAACGTCTGCGACTGCCACGGAGTGTATCATGAACTCCTTACATCTTTTCAGTCACTAAAGGACAGAATTGTTGAGAAGTGGAATTCACTGTCTCAACAGCATATCATTGATGTTACTGATCAGTTTAGGCCAATATTGGGGGCTATAATTGATCAAAGTGGAGGACACGTTGAACATCTATTTCTGTAGACAAAAAACTTGTTTTTGCAAGTTTTTGAAAACCCGTTTTGAAACGAAAATGACGTCATTTGTATTATTGACGCTGGTTGACATGTATTATAATAAATTTGAACTTATGATATACGAAATTAAAGGAAAGTGAATTCCCTATCCACTGGTATATAATATGACATGTTTTCGTAAATACAATCATTGTTTATTTTTGAAATACGAGTGTCCCATTTTTGGATCACCCTGTCTGCCTGTATATTAGTCGTTGCTTCTATTATTTTAAGATATGACTAGGAAACACTAATAAGACATAATATACGCATTGTAGTTAATCATTAATGGTACAGTATTTATTGTTCTCTTCATAAGCTTTTTCTGTTTCTTTTATTGTGACAAAAGCTGCATGCACTATGCTCCGATTCCGATTTTATAATTTGAAATGCTTAGAATGCAATGTAATTTCGTTAATTTCCAGGGATAAAGTCCCGTCCTGGGGGGGAGGCTCGCTTCGCTCGCAATTCAAATCCAAATCGCACCCCGGCCCCTTGACATTTGCTGGCTACACCCCTGGGTCATGCTAAAACCCTTATGTTGTGTGAAATAGTTTTGGACACATCAAAGGAAACATTAGTATATTCTTACCGTTCAATGCTGCCACAGTTGGCATGGGAAAAGTCAACATGCGCAACATTATTGTTCTCCATCCCTCGCCGAACTGTGTCAGGTATGTAGGTGTTGACTTCATCAACGTGTCCAGGTCCAGACCATTGCTGTAAAACTTCCCAGTTCCTATTGTGATGAGGGCCTTCGCTTTCGTGTTGCTGAAAATCACATCATGTTCATTTAACAAAAAGGGTCATCTTTGATTACCAAGATATGGAGAAAATCAAACCGGTAAGCGAATATGACAAACGGTGAGCTACGAAGAAAGGGAATTATAAAGACTAACTACCCTTTTATGAATGCTTTTTGCAGTCTAGACACAATGAACTGTTGGATTCTCGACAGTGTTTTTGAGAAAGGAAAGTGCACTCATGATACTTTCAATTGACAAAACAAGGCATTAACATGCAAAATGTCACTACCTCCCATTTGTTACAAACGTCGAACTCGGGATAAGACAAATTTATTTTAAGAGATCATATAATCATAATGACTGTTTTCAACAGATATCGTCGTCTATCCCATGGTTGCAAGGATATAGATCGAATATCACATGAAGATGTATTTGATATGTGGATCAAGATATTATATTTTAGCAAAAAAAATTCACAAACCATCGAATATCACTTTTAAACTATCAAATATCACGTCTTAAAAAGTGATATTCGATGGTTTGAAGTGATATTCGATGGTTTCGAATTTTTTTCAAAAAAAAATCTTTTTACATTTTTTAATTATTTTCAAAAATATTTTTAAAAAATTTCAAAATTTCAAAAAACAATTTCAACATTTTTTCACATTTTTTTCAATTTTTTTCTCAAATTATATTTTTCAACTTTTTTCGCTGATGATAATTTCCCATGGGATAAACGGACAATCCTACAGTGGTTTCAGTAACTTTGTGTACAAGAGGCAGATGAAAAATACATGAGGCGACATTCAAAATAACCAATTTTACGCTCCCGACAATGCAAATTCTTGTTATTTTAGAGTCCATGTACTGAAAGAAAGATATCCAAGGTTTGTCAAAGTCATTTCCACGTGTGATGTGGCAAGACATGGGCTCCACAAAATAACACCTGGAACTGTGGAATGACTAGGGCAACTTATATAGAATGTCATTTACCTTTTATAAGATACTTACCCTTACACAGGTTGCATTTCACAAATCCAAATGCACTTGTTGAATTGAGCACTTTTGATTTAAATCAAAATCTAGAACTGTCATTATTAAAATGAGAGTGATGTATTAATAGATGATTCACTTGTGATTATGTGTATATCAGATTCATTTTAGTTTTTTTACCACCTCCAGAGGGTACAGGGTGTTCCAAAAGTAACAGGACTGGTGCTGGTATTTTGTTAAATATACACCAATTGTGTTCAAAATTTTACATAATGTACCTTCATGTTTTGTAACTAAAATTGCCGAATTACATAATTTTTGTCTAAACTGCATGATTTAGAAATCGGCCGATGAGTAGCGGCGCCCGGCGCATATGTGGCCTAGGCATTAGAGAGAGACCGAGGTGGGAGATATCCCCCTCCCCTTTACACCAAACTTGTCTTGCCTGAAAGGCCTCCTCACACATTATTAAAGAAAACGACATTTTGTGCATTTAACCATTTGATAACATATTGTGGATCTTATCTTCATTTGTTAATGTGAATTCGCACCTCCATTTGCATGGAAGACTTGTATGTGTTGCTATTTGCATGTAGCTACAAGTATTTAATTTCAATAGATGATAAACTTCTCAATATAAGAAATTACCCTCATAAGACATTGTTGCAAGGTATGTTGCAATGAATGTGACATCCCACATTCTCAGACCCGCATTATGTATTCTCGAAGAAACCCATCATGATAAACTGCTTTATGGGTGAAAAAAGAAGTGAGAGTAAAAAGCCAGCTAGCATTTTACTTTTGGTTAATCATTAACAAATGACAATGCTAAAGCGATTTGATATAATACAGCTGCATACTCTTGGCAAGGTTATCATCACACTGAGGGTCAAAATATGGAACTGGCGAGATCTTTGCACTTTTTTAAGTTTCTACATGTTCTATATTTATGTATATGTTCAGATCCAAATTCTCCATCACTACCCCGAAATATGTTGTAGGTTGTGAATACAACATTTCGATATGGCATAGGTTACTCTAGACTTGTTTGCACTTAAACCCACGTGACATGTAATTATTTTTCGTAAGCAAATACTTGTAATTGACTTTACAGTTTTTTACTTAGTCAAGATCATTGTGTCGAAACTCATACTTACGCTTCTACCACGTCTAGTGCATCGTGTAGTCTCTTGATCGTCTCCACGTTGAATCTATTCTCCCCATCCTCCATACGTAACACGGCAACATTGTCTTCAAACTCTACAGTGACTCCTCGCAGATCGTGTTTACGTGTAGCCATTTTAAATGAGGAAGCGAAGTCCATTGATGTCACATGACAATCATGTGATATACAGAATTCGTCCTTTATATCTGCGATCAAGGCAGATGTCGATGTCTAGATATTTCATTCAATCGAACCAAGTTCGGATGGATATAGGGAGCGCATCTGCCTGCCCGCCCGTCCGTCCGGGCGATAACTCCAATACCATTGGGCCGATTCTGTTCATATTTTGTACACATTTGCCATATGGTGTTAGAAGTTCTCGCTGACTTATGGCCGCTCGTTTAAAAATGGCGGCCATTTTAGTGCTGGCCATTTCCGCCTTTTTCAGTATTATTTTACTTTTTGTAATAAAGCGATTCTGTTCGTATTTGAAATATGAATACTTATAAGCATGACACACTGTCATGCGACACTTTGGCTAATGAGCGACCATTTTGAAAATGGTGGACATTTCATGTTTATGCGTGATATTTTACGATTTTTGCTATAACTGAAAAAGTAGTAGAAGGTTTTGGAAGGTTTTGGTAGGCATGGTTGTTCGATGGGATTTGCTACGTTTTGCGTTGCTGTTATCAAGTTGAGTTTACAACTAAATGCAAGTTGCTGTCATTCCTTATGATTTGGAACAATGCACCCCATTTATATACACGTATCATACAGTATGTAAATTGGTCAAAACAAAAGGGTTTGAGGTAGATGCACCGGAACAGATACTGTAGTAGCAGAATTAACCGATATGAATGAGTTCCTTGATACAGTAACATAAAGAGTGGGAGGGGTTATTTCGGTCAATTCTACGATTTGTTTGCTTTATACTTGAATGTTGCCCTATGTGCAAACTTGTAACACACTGCTACTAGCGTATATTGGCATGTTCAAAATTTTCCACGTACAGTAGAGAAATTCACTGAAATCGTCTTATTGTGATTTATGTCCTGATAAAAATAATTATTTACTTCCTTGTTACGTGTGTATTAAGTGTTTACAAAAAGTCAAAAATATGTTTCTTCTTCAAATAGTAGATTTACTTTTACTAGTATTCAGAGATTACACCTTTTACCTGCCTTCACGTCACAACTTTGTTAACCAATCCCGACTTGGATGTTTAGTCGTACCCCCATAAAACATTAATGTGAAAAACAAGTTACACCTAACTTATTAATAAATATTTATCTGACTGACAACTGCGTATATTTACAATCAAACATTTAAGAAACGTCAATTCTTTAACATTTTTTGAGCCATGATAGTTATTTTTGGATTAAAGTAACTTGCTATTTATTGAAAGTTGTCAACGTATCTAATGTTTACAGTTTATTGGATCTAAAAGGTCCGTGGACAGTTTTGATCATGTATTCTATTATAATTTACGATAAATCATTATCACTAATACTGATAGTGTCATCTTGATCTGCATTTCATGTGGTCCTTATTCCATTATACATCAAATGTTCCATTATATACATCACTATATATAGTATTATATATGTTGCACACTGTACATTTTGCATCCATTGCGCCATCTGCGTGGTCAATCATCATCTTTCTTTGGACCTGGGTTTTCTTTTTTAAAGCCATCCGTAAATTCCTTGATCTTATCCCAAAGCTCCTGAGGGTTGTCCACAGCTGGGACCTAACAACATAAATGTAATCAATATTTACATGTGCACGAATAGATTATACTTTTCTGCCATAGCCAGCTTTTGCCAAGAGAGGGTTCACTTTCCAAAACATTCCAGGGGCAGTTCACATTTGACGACTTTGGCCCATCGTCATTTGAAAAGTGCTCGGATATAATCTTTTTATATTTATATATCTAAATTTATTTTTCATCTTTATCTTGAAATGAAATTGACACTATTGTTTTAGAAAAATATATTGTTATAAAGGGATAATTCACACTCACATGTTTTGGTTAATGAATAAGCATAAATGAACTCATCCATGCATGAAAATGGTTCAGAGAAAGTTTTTAAATGCATTTAAACGCTTGAGTTCTCATAGAAACAAATGGTACAATAATTCAAAACACAATATTTTCTCACTTGTAACTTGGTTAGACAATCAACATTGGTTTTAAGTTTAGCATATTTAGAAAAGACTGACAACGTTTTTACCACCTGGGTGATGTCACGGGGTCACTTAGGTTGCAAAACATTTTTGATATGGAGTGGCACATTAGATAAGACATTCAATTATAAAAATAGTGTGTCCTTTATTCAATCTTTGCTTTGGCTTTTGCACTGAATAGTGGAACATTTGATACTGAAAAAGATTTCCACTTTCATTTAAAAATTGGCGTAAAATCGGAATTTTAATAAACTATTAGTAACTAATATCAAATACAGTATACAATGTCCATTCAAAACTCCACTGGGACCGGTTAAAAGCATTCAGATAACAAATAACTGAATTGGGAGGTGTTCACATATCAAGGTTTGGAATTTCGAACACATTCCTCATAAATATAGGCATAGCATAGGCATAGCTCAATTGACCACATATACAGGGCGTTCAATAAGTATTGCTAATTTTGTTATAACTTTTCAAGGTTATCTTGCATATTTCTTCATGGAACTTTTACAACATAAGCACCACATATCTGACCTTATATTATCCAAATTTCTGGACAACCAACTTAGTATTGACAAAGTTATGGTTACTAGCGTAACTATTGTCACGGATACGCGGGGCAACCTTAAGTATTTACATGATGAATTATTGTTATACATCAAATAAACACTTTGATGAATAAAAATTGTTGATATGGTCAAATCTTGATGTTGTCAGATTGAATTATATGTATTATCTATCAGCGGTGATAAGAGATGTTTATGTTTATGTTTATGTTTGAGATCTGAGAGGAATATCGCACTAGAATCTCAACCAGCGGATGTCTGCAGTGAACACTGCGCATCCCTGGCCACACACTTCAACGTCCTCAAAGAGCAATATCGACCTATACGGTCCACTAGGACAACGCCCCTGCTCACAGATCCTCTATTCTCCTAAACACACTAACAGAGATTGGCATGGAAGCATTGCCCCACGCAGCATATTTCCCGAATAAGGCCCCCCTTGATTTTGTTGTATTCGCCCCAGTGAAAAGGGATCTGAGAGGAATATCGCACCAGAATCTCAATCAGCTGATGTCTGCAGTGAAAACCTCCCTAGCCACATACTGTAAGAGTGGCTTCAAAAATGTGCACCATGACTCCATAAGTGGGTCGCCAGACTGCAAACTGCAACTGTGAATTGACGCTCAGGGTGCCTGCCTATTTTGAGCACCTCATGAAGTTAATATGCATCATGAAGTGACTCTGGAATGGATTATTTATAACTGCACTGCATATCCCAAGAGTTAAACGACATTAAATGATACTGCTTTCAACACTCAAAATGTTGTCCAAAGTGACGTCAGAAATTTGCCCCGCATATCCATGATACTGGTTACCTTAGTAACAATAGCTTTGTTAATCCTGATTCAATTGTCTTGAAACTTTCATAGAATAAAGTCAGATATATGTAACTTATGATGTGAAAGTTTAATGAAGAAAAAGCAAATAGAAGAAAAGTTATAGCAAAATTAGCAATACTTATTGAACGCCCTGTACTAATAATATGAATATCGCATTTTTCTGATCCAAATGAATTCAGTTGAAGACACATAAAATACATATAAAATCAAATTAAATTATTTTTCTTTTTAACCAATCAGATGTTTTCTGTTCTTCAATCAGTCTGAAACTTATTATTACAGCTCAAACTTTATAACTGAAGTTACATTGTTACATTAAAGTGAATGGACGATGTGTGTTGTTTTCTAATGATTCTACATCCCTTTCATGTCCAAGAATTAAAACATGTCTGGACTTTACTTCATTACAATAAAAAATTGTTGAAATGAAGTGAAGTCCAGACATGTTGCAAATTAGAACTATGTCATCATGTTACATCAATCGTTAATGCTCAAATTTTGTTTTGATTATATTTGTTTTTCTTTCAACATCAGCTACATGCCGTCATCCTTAATTAGTCTTATAATTAGATTTCAGTCAATGGCAAATAAACACCTATTTAGAAGGTAAAGATTAAAAGGTAGATTGGATCGAGTGGATTGGATTCATGTAAAAGGTGGATTGGATTGGCTATCTTCAAAATATGGATTTTCCCTTAAAAAATTCTATTGATCTCCCTTTAGGAAGATTGGTGCTCTCTTCACTTGCACAATGTCAAATAATAGATGTAATATTATTTTGCTTGGGTGGGCTAGAAGGATGACCTGGTACCCGCTTTCTGATACACGATCTCATCCATTCCAAGTGTAATTTGAGATATTTCATAAATCATAAGGCAGACTGGTTTGAAGATCCATATCTGTTTTCAATCCAAACTGAACATACCAGAAATGTTTTGTGAACATTCACACATCAATTTGAATGACAGTTTTTCTTTTTCTAAAGATCTATGTCTTACAAAAGTTGATTTACAAGGGAAAGCGGTTAAATACTTAAGAGTGTCCATGAACTAATTGTAGTATGTATTTGTCATTGCTTTGTTCTGATTTCTCAAAAGGGACCTGTAACACTGTAGAGGGAAATTGTTTAGAGGGAGATCAACAGAAATTTTTTATAAGAAATTCCAAATTTTGAAGATTCCCGATCCAATCCACCTTTTACATGAATCCAATCCACTCGATCCAATCCACCTTTTAATCTCTACCATTTAGAATAACTGATCTTAAACATGTATTTGTGTTATGTGACATTCTGATTGGTCAGTGATTAACAAAAATAAATTTGAGCAACTCTGTATAGAACATATGATATCTTATGAGAAGTGTTCATATTAGACACTGGTTGATCTTTCAAATATGACTGTTCAGTGTTCAAATTGAGAGATGTTCCCATGTTAAGGTTATTTTGACATGAGAGCCAATGGGAGGAAAAAGAGGACCAAAAAAGTGTTAGGACAGAGTTGTTCAGATTTGCCAGGTGTTTGGATAAACACGTTTTACTGTAGATTGTATTACAATGGGTCCATACATGAGTCATTAGTATTAACAAGGTAGCTTTCTTTGAAGTCAAGAATAATTGTGTACCTGAATCAAAAATTGATTTTTAATGAATCAACAAAAATCAAAAAAGAATACAGTTACAGTATTTGGGAAGCTAATGATGGTATACACTTGGTACACACTATA